CACACCCTATGTCCAGCCCTCCCCTCCATTTCCTAGGGACCTCCACTTCCACCTGTGTTCAATCAGAGTGGAGTGCCTGGTTCTTCACTGCATTATTCTTTTTTTTTTTTTTTTGTACTGCATTATTCTTAACAATCAGAGGACTGGGCCCGGCACGGTGGCTCATGCCTGTAATCCCAGCACTTTGGGATGCCCAGACAGGTGGATCACCTGAGCTCAGGAGTTTATGACCAGCCTGGACAACATGGCAAAACCCTGTTTCTACTAAAAATACAAAAAAATTAGCTGGGTGTAGTGGCACATGCCCGTAGTCCCAGCTACTCAGGAGGCTGAGGCACAAGAATTTCTTGAACCCAGGAGGCGCAGGTTGCAGCAGCTGGAGCATCGCACACTCAACTAAGCCCTGGGAGGACAGATGTGCGGAGATTTTTCTGGTATAAAAAAAAAAAAAAAAAAAAAAAAAGGCCGGTGGGGCTCACGCGGCATGTGAATCCCAGCACTTTGGGACGCCAAGGCAGAGCGGATCACTGAGTCGGAGTTCAGAGACCAGTCCCGGCCACATAGTGAAACCCCTGTCTCTATTAAAATGCAGAAAATTAGGCCAGGTGTGGTAGTGGGCACACTGTAGATCCAGCTACTGAGGGAAGCTGAGCAGGAGAATCTGGTTTTGAACCGGGAGACAAGAGGTTGGCAGTGAGCCAAGGATCGTTTGCCCCACTGCACTCCGGCCTGGTGCAACCAGGGCGAGACTTCCAAAAAAAAAAAAAAAAAAAAACCGCGGCACAGTGGTCATGCCTGTAATCCAGGCAGCTTTTGGGAGGCAGGGATGGTGGAGTCACTAGATCAGGAGATCGAGACCCATCCTAGGGCTAACATGAACGGTGAAACCCCATCTCTTTACTAAAAATACCAAAAACAAAACAAAAAAAATTTGCTGGGGTATGGTGGCAGGCGCCTGTAGTCAGCTACATTGGGAGGCTGAGGCAGGGAATTGGCTGAACCTGGGAGGTGGATGCTTGCAGTGAGCCGAGCCGGCACTGCATTCCAGCCTGGGCGACAGGGCAAGACTCGGTCTCAAAAGAAAAAAAAAAAAAAATTAGGGGTCTGATGCTTTCTTATTGTTTCTTCTTTTTTCTCTCAAATGACTTACTTTAGAGGGAAACAGCTAAATTTCAGGTGCTGCTGCCCTGCTGTGACCTCAGGAAGCTGCCCCACCAGCTGCAGCCTCTTTGGCCCCCAGCCCAGCATGTCCTCGTCTTTCCAGCCAGCGGACAGCCAGGCTCTCCCACCAGCTGTCTGTAGGCCAGTTTCAGGCCAGCGTAGCCCACTCCCTCCACACTTGTGGCTGCAGCCTGGTCTGTGGAGAACCACCCCCGCTCCCTCGCCCCTCTGCAAGACAGTGCTAGGTCCCCTCCCCAGATCTGATCACCGTTTGGGGTCCCACCGCAACCCATCCAGCACTTGCCCAGCCAGGCTACGGGAGGGTGGGTGTTCCTCACCTGCCATGCTCATGCTAACCCTACAGCTGGGGGAACCAAGGCTCTGAGCTGTGACATGACCCCAGCAGGCCATGGTGACAACAGCATGCCCCTCGTACTCCATCTCCCGAGTGCCCCTCAGGTGCAGGGGACAGTAGGGCGCACAAGAGGCTGGACCCCTTCCCAGATTCTGAACCTGTCTGTGTGAGGGGGGTGTCCAGGGCTCACCCAAGGCAGGCCAGAACCCTGTGGCTGCTGAGGCCCGGGTTGGTGCAGAGGTGTGAGAGGCACTGAGTGGGCAGGACCCCTGTGAGCCCTCTGCGGAGGAGCCGCTGGCCCCGGTCACAAGGCACTGAGCCGGCAGAACTGGAGGCAACAGCACAAGAAAGCCGCGTCAGCACCCCTAAAACCCAGTCTGTGTGTGTAGTCAGCAGGGTCATTTCTCCCAGACCGGTACCGCGGATTATGCAAGACCCAGCTATACTTCCGGGCTCTGAGCTCAAGTGCTGACCTGTGACAAATATACTCCTGGGTTCCATCCTAGGCGCCCCCCAACACCCTTCCCTCACCCCTTCCTTACCCCCACCCTCACCCCTCCCTCACTCTCTCCCTCCTCCCTCAAATCCTTCCCTCACCTCTCCCTCACCCACTTCCACCTCCCTCCTTCACCCCTCTCTCATCCTTCCCTCACCCTCACCCCTCTCACCCTTCCCTCACCCATACCTCACCCCTCTCTCACCCCTCCCTCACCCATACCTCACCCCTCCCTCACCCCTTCCTTATCCTTCTCTTTTCACCCCCTTATCCCCCCTCACCCCTCCCTCATCACCTCCTTTACCTCCTCCCTCACCCCCTCCCTCCCTTACCTCTCCCTAACCCTCTCTCATCCTTCCCTCACCCTCTTCCTCGCTCCCTCTCTCACCCCTCCCTCCCCCAACTCCTTCCGTCACCTATCCCTCACCCCTTCACCTCCCTCCTTCACCCCTCCCTCACCCCTCCTTTACCCCCCACCCCTCCTTCACCCCCTCCCTCACCCCCTCCCTTATCTCCTTCCTCACCTACCTCACACACCCCCTCATTCCCCTTCCTTCATCTCCCTCCCTCATCCACAGCCCATCCCTCACACCCCTTTCCTCATACCCCCCCTTTCCTTCACTCACTCTCACAACCTGCATTTCGCCTCTAGCTCTCCCACAACCCCTCCCTCACACCAAAGCTTTGGTAGTGGGAGTTCCCTCGACCCCAGCATCTCCTACCAGCTCCTGCACAGTTCTGAATGTGAGAACAACATCCCATGTCCAGATGGGGTAGCTCGGAGGAAACTGCTCTTCTTACTAGGGTATCATGAGGGCTTCCTGGAGGAGGTGGCATTCCTGAAGGATGAGTTGATGGGCGGGGCTGGTAAGGAGTCCCAAGCTGAGGGAGCAGCATGGTTTTTGCCTGAACACCCACAGCACAGGTGTGGAAGCACAGGACACGGCCATCTGTGGATGCAGTGTGGAAGCAGGGACTCAGGACAGCCAGGAGGGCCTCACTGCCCAAGGCTGCCTTCCCCTCCCTGGGGACCTAGGTCACTGCTGGTCACAGGAACTGGTTGGCCCGGTGGTTGGCAGGGCTGGGCCTGATGGGTGGCTGAGGCCCAGACACGGGTGCCTATCATTCTCCCTCCTCCAGGCTCCAGCCTCAAAGGGTGGGGCAGCCACCAGGTGGGAGGCGGCAGATGCAAGAGTGGGCCTGGTTGGTGGTCAGGGACGTCACAGACTCAGACCCAGGGACGTCACAGACTCAGTTGGTCAGGGATGGAGCTGGGGGTAGCTGGGTGCTGGGAGGGCAGTCCAAGGACAGTGGGGCTCAGGACCTGGCTGATGTGGGCCTCGGGGCAGGGCGGTGAGTGCACACAGATGGACAGGGAAGGCAGCAGTCCTGGGGCCAGGCAGCCCCTCGATGAGGAATGACACCTGCCCACGGGGCCTGGGGAGTCAGGGCCTCAGGTGGTGTCAGGCAGCCCTGAGGTGTGTGTGTCCTCCACGGCCTCTGGCCAGGCCACCTAGAACTTGCCCAGGCCACACACCGGCCTGTGCCCTGCCTGCCTCGGAGGTTTCCTGCCTTCAGCTGACGCCGTAATAGAATGTTAATGTCCCTGGAGACCCCTCCTTAGCTCTCCAGGGACAAGTCACACCTGTCTACACCCTTCACCCAGACACCTGTCACCTTCACTAAGTATGTGTCTCCTTTACCCAGGCATGACGGGCACCTGGAGCAAGGTGGTCAATTCCTAAAAGGATTTCCGAGGCAGGGGGGCTGTGACAGAACCCACGCGCAAGGAGGAGTCCCGAGGGAGGGATCCCATTTCACAGGTGGGCGAACAGGCTGAGACTGCAGCACAGGCCCTGACCCCGCGGCTCAGGGTGGAGGAGGGAGAGGGCAGCTAGGGCTGTCCCCCCGCCACCCCACTCAGTGGGCGCGTGGCAGCCTGGCAGGTGGGAGGGCTCTGAGGCTCTGGCTTTCCTTGCCCCCGGCCCTCAGATCCCTGAAGGGGCAGGCACTGTGATGACCAAGCAGCAGCGCCGCCCAGTAACAGGACATCATGTCCTGGAGCTCCACACTCCACTGTCAGCCTGGTTCCCACTGTAACATGCACAGCGACCCTGCGACTGACTGAGCATGGTCCCTCCAGGACCCGCACTCATAGCCTTGCCCTGCCGGTGGCATCACCCCAGGGTTAGGGGCTCCCAGTACCTTCTGGGGCAAAGCCTGGGTGCCTCCAGAAACCCCCTGGAAAATGCAAACTCATGATGATTCTGCGGGTTGACAAATATTCTTGTTTCCCCACTAAAAGGCTTGGGGGAGGAGCTGACAAGGGGAGGGAAGCAGGTCTCCGGCCCAGGCTCAGCAGCCAGAGGGGGGGGGAGAGAGAGAGAGAGAGAGAGTGTGTGTGTGTGTGTGTGTGTGACAGAGAGAGGCACACAAGGTGGGAGGAGGGGGCAGTGTGGGGGACATCTGAGGTGGGGAGGCAGTGCCCGGGGGCTTATCCGAGGCAGGTGAGCCCATGTTGGGGGCGTCCTGTCTGGGGGTCTGTGCCAGCAGCTGGATGTGGAGATGCCGGGAACACCAGGGCCAGTCCCAGCTGAAGCAGCCATAGCTACCGTCATCTCTGAAGCCTTCCTGAGACTGAGGAACGAGACAGGCTGAGGGAACTTGAACATTTAATATGGTCAGCACCTTGTAAGATGAAGGTGTTTTTTGGTTTTTTTTGTTTTTTGTTTTTTTGAGACAGAGTCTCGCTCCGTCGCCCAGGCTGGAGTGCAGTGGCGCGATCTCGGCTCACTGCAAGCTCCGCCTCCCGGGTTCACGCCATTCTCCTACCTCAGCCTCCCGAGTAGCTGGGACTACAGGCACCCGCCACCTCGCCCGGCTAGTTTTTTGTATTTTCAGTACAGACGGGGTTTCACCGTGTTAGCCAGGATGGTCTCGGTCTCCTGACCTCGTGATCCACCCGCCTTGGCCTCCCAAAGTGCTGGGATTACAGGCGTGAGCCACCGTGCCCGGCCGGAGGTGTGTTTTTTACACAAATTATAAATAATGAAAAATAAGCATTTAGAAAAAGAAGCAGCAGTCCCCTTGGCGGGTCGGCTGGAGGACTCTTTGGTTGAGTGGCGGGTGAGGCCCTGGGTCCAGGGTCTGTCAGAGCCCCCCTAGGTCATCTGCCAGGAAGGCCAGCAGGTAGCGGCTGACATGTCTGTCGATGATGACAGGCGAGAAGCCGAGGACGCGCCGGGTCCCTGGCAGGCCCTTGGGGTCTAGAAGACAAAAGGGGAGGCAAAAGCTCACGAACCAGTCCCAGAGGTGAATTCTGTGTTTCCATCCCTCCCATGGGGGTGGGTGGGAGCGGGCACTGGGGCAGGGTGCTCCCTCCCGGTCATGGTCTTGGCTTGAGTTGAAAAGACAAGAATTAGGGCAGATTCCAGAGCCCCCAGCTCCCACCCAAGTGACCCAGGGGCCTTGAGTCCTGCCATGTGTGCCTGTGTCCTCGCGCCCAGTAGGCCTCCCAGCACGACAAACTCAGGCATCACAGAAAAGGAAGACGGGGCAGGCCAGGCTGGGCGCCAGTAGACGGGCCCTGGGAGGCTCCTATGCATCAGGCCTGTGGCTGGTGGAGAGACCCAAGGCCCTGGGGCATGTGACCTGCTCAAGGGCCCCACATGGCTCAAGGTGTGGCAGGGCTTTGTAACACCCAGAGTCCTGGCTGCACCCCTCCTCCTGCTAGGGGTCATCATTTTCTGGTTCCCAAGGGTGGCAGGAGCCAGTGGACGCTGGGAGCCTCCTCACATCCCATTTCTCATGAGCCCTGCAAGGTGACACCATCCCACTGCTCAAGTGTGGACACTGAGGTGTGGAGAGGCCAAGGGGTCCTAAATTGGGCAGGGTCTGGGGCCCTGGCTTGGTGGCAGAGGGGAAGCAGGCCCAGCCCTGTGAGGGTCCACCTGCACCCACCTGGTGGATAACAGTACAGGAGCAGGGCCAGTCCCACAGCAAGGCCCAGACCAGCCAGGAAGCTCATGGGTCCTGGGGAGAAACCAGCGTGAACAGGGCTCCCCTGGGCCTCAGAGGGGTGGGGTCCTGAGGCTCGGGGGCTGCGCAGGGGAGGGGGTGCCAGGCTGAGGTGCTGCCTGAAGAGCCCCCAAGCGAGCACCTTAGGGGGTCTGTCACCAACAGAAGGCCAGGAATGGAGCCACACTTGGGGTGGAGAAGCCCCTGAGGCGGAGATGGAGCCCTGGGGAGGGTAAAGAGAGAGGGAAAGAGAGGGAGAGAGAGGGAGGGCAGCAGGGAGGTGTTACCCCTGTCACTCAGCTCGCCGCTCTGGCTGCCCGAGTCTAGCTGTGTGCAATCTGAGTTCTCTAGAAACAAAACCACAGAGCATGGTTAGTCAATGGGCAGGGCTGGAGAGCAAGGTCGTCACCCCGTAGGAAGCCCAAGGCCACTGCTGCCTCCTGGGGCCGCCAGGCCAGACCAGGCCGTGGTACCCGAGACCAACCCTCCTCAGGGAACTATGCACAGTCTGGGTCTTCTCCGGTGGTCTAGCTGCTGTGACTTCAAGTGCCACAGGCATGGGGAAGGTCATTGTACCCTGGTGGCCACAGGCACCAAACGCAACACGAACATTGCTGTGGACAGCATGACTGCTGTCGGCCTGGTGGCTGCCTCCCTGGGTGCAGCTGGGCCAGAAGCTTTCTGCCCAGGCCTCCCCCGGAGGTTATCCAGCCTGAGACCTGCTGGACGGGCCTAAAGGCACGCGGGAGCCACAGAAGGTGCTCCACCTCCAGTGGGGCCGAGGCTTGGCCCTGCCTGGTTTTGAAAGCCCCCGGTGGCATATTCGTGGCTCGGGAGGGAGAGCCAGTCCCTCCTGCAGGGCTGGGCCTCCCCTCGAGCTCTCCCTGCCCACCATCTGCACTGTGTCCTGTGAAGCCTGGGGAGGCCTCCGGGGGCTCAGAGACCCCCAGCCCAGTAGCCTGGAGTGAGCCACCCAGTCCCTCTGGTCTCTGTCCTGTTGCTTGAGGGCCAAGGGGCAGTAGCCCCTCCTCCTAGGGCCCTGACCACAGAGGCGTCAGATCAGAGTTGCCATCTTCACCTTGAGGCGCCCTGAACGTCCCGGCAGCTCTGTGGGCCCAGGCTACTGGCATCCACATGACTCCCGGGGCCTGAGCGCACACTGCCTGAGGACAGGAGCCTCAGAGCTGAAATGCATGTGCTTCGGACCAGCCATCCGGGCCTGACCACGCCCTATGGAAACCCCTACACGTGTGCAGATCACGGCAATGAAAGGGTTCATCATGGGGTTGGGTAATTCCAGCGGGGACCGCCTAGGAGCGCTACGCAGCTGTGGGAACAAGGCTGCTGTCCACACAGACAGGAAGGGATCCCCCTGGAATGAGGCTAGAAAAGGAAGGGCAAGAGAGGACGCACACGATGCCCCCTTCTGTGTGAAAACTGCCATGACAGAGAGAGATGGAGAAAGTGGGAGACAGAGACCAACATCTGCACTGCCTGTGCCTGCCACACTCTCCCCTCGGGGCTGAGGGTGGCCTCTGGGGAAGGACTGAGGCAAGAGGGGATGCCAGGCCTGGGCTGCAGCAGACTTGGGAGGTCGTGGAGAACATCCATGGCATCAGCAGCAGGCTGGGGTGCCCTCCCTGGGCCGGCACCAAGCATGCATGGTTGGGGACGTGGAACTTACGCAGAGCGTGGCGGCTGGGCAGGCAGCTGTGCAGGGGCTGGGCATGGATATACAGGGCTCGGTAGAACTCCTGGCAGTCCCGCTCGCCGCTCCGCTGCAGGTGGCTCAGGAGGTCACAGAGCCGCACACGCAAGGACGCCTTGGGGTTCCGGAACTGAGGGTATAAGGGGGTGCCAGGGAAGATCAGGCCAGGGGGGCTGGCTGTGGGTCAGGGCAGGGCACCAAGGTCAGGCCCCCAGCCTCAGCTTCCCCACTGAGTGTCAGGACACCTGCCGGATGGCAGCTCCTGTGACACCCTGCCCCTTACCCACACCACATAGTGCCTGGCATTGCCTCTGTCACAGGCATCACTGCTACTCCTCATACTCCCTGTGGGGTGGGAGGTTGGGAAACAGGCCGGGAGCGGTCACAAAGAAATCACAGGGCTGGCCGGGCACAGTGGCTCACGCCTGTAATCCCAACACTTTGGGAGGCCAAGGCAGGCGGATCACGAGGTCAGGAGATCGAGACCATCCTGGCTAACACGGTGAAACCCTGTCTCTACTAAAAAATACAAAAAAATTAGCCAGGTGTGGTGTCGGGCGCCTGTAGTCCCAGCTACTCAGGAGGCTGAAGCAGGAGAATGGCGTGAACCTGGGAGGCAGAGCTTGCAGTGAGCTGACATCGCGCCACTGCACTCCAGCCTGGGCAACAGAGCAAGACTCTGTCTCAAAAAAAAAAGAAAAAAAAAAAAGAAGAAAGCACAGGGCTGGTGACATCATTCCAAGTGTTAGGACATAGTGTGGCTTCCTGTGTGACCTCAGCCAGCTACTCCACCCCTCTGAGACTTGGTTTCTTCATTTGTAAAAAGGGGATAATGAACCCTCATGGTAGGCTATGACAGGGAATTAATGAAGTGAGGTATAAGTGCTAACTTCTGTTATTTTGCAGTCTACAGGAATGTGATTCAAGTTTTTAAAAAATAAGTTGAAGCTGAGCGCGATGGCTCATGCCTGTAATCCCAGCACTTTGGGAGGCCGAGGCAGGCAGATCAGGAGCTCGAGGTCAGGAGTTTGACACCAGCCTGGCCAACATGGCGAAACCCCATCTCTACTAAGAGTACACAAAATTAGCCAGGCATGGTGGTGCATGTTTAATCCCAGCTACTTGGGAGGCTGAGGCCAGAGGATCACTGGAAACTGGGAGGCAGAGGTTGCACTGAGCCGAGATCACGCCACTGCACTCCAGCCTGGGTGACAGACTCCATCTCAAAAAAAAAGAAAAGAGTGACAAAAGTATTGGCTCTTTTGATGTGTCTGACAGAGAAATGTGTGGTTCTCAAGGTCAGTGGACAGGCCACTGGGCCTTGACCGCCAGGACCTGGAGTCTGTGACCCAGTGCTGCCACCTGGTGGCAGCATACCATTCTACATGGCCACAGGAAACGAGTAAAACCATGGCAGTGTGGAAATGACAGCCAGATGGGTGGCAGAAGCTATGGTGTCTGTGAGGAAGGAATATGTGGTTTTTCTTGTATAAACATCCGAAACTTTCTAAACTTTCTAAAAGTGAACATGCATTAGACTTCAATTACAATAATAAGAGATGGATTTGAGCTCCTAACTTTTAAAATTACTGTATCACCTTCACAATGGAAGAAGCACCTGAGCCAGCAGCAGGGCCCGTGTTGACTTGTGTTCTGTTGTGGGCCAACCTCATTGTGCCAGGAGATGCCCCAACCCTAAGGATAGCCCTGCATCATGACCCCCTGCCAAGTGAGGAAATGACAGCTCCAAGAGAAGGGACTCAATTGGGGTCACCCAGAGGGGAAGGAGGCTGGCAGGACCTGTACCCCGAAGGCCTAGGGGTCTCTGGCACTCACTGCCCATCCCTCTGGTCTTGGTGATGGCTGTCAAGGAACAGGTGGCTCAGTGCGGGCGCCAGAGCCACAGATGTGGGCGGGGTCGGCAGGGTGTGGCTAACTCTCTCATCCAATGTCCCCTCAGGGCCACCTGGCACTGGGGTGATGGGGCAGGACAGACTTCCCAAGACAGAGCCCAGGAATTGCATCTTAAATGCCATCTCCAGCAGAGCCACCCTGCTGTTTCCAGCTCTGCAGCTCTGAGAGGCCAGGGCCATGTGACAGAGCAACAGCCACCGGCCCTGGGCACGTTCCCAAACAATAGGATGAACTCAGGACATGGCCTGGCACTCCTGAGATGAGCGGCCCCGGGCAAGCGGCTGCCTCTTGGGCCTTGGGATCACCTCTGTGAGATGGGGTGATGGGCGCGGTGCCCACAGGGCTGCAGGGCCATCTGGTGATAAGGGCTCTCGGGCAGGCGTTTACCCGGCTCAGCTCAGTCAGTCCACACCACACCTGCCAGGCAGGGCTCTCAGCGTCTGCTCCACACATGGGGAAGCTGGGGTTCCGAGGGACCAGCCCGCTCAGCACTGCTGAGAGGGGCAGACTGTGGCACGGCCATGGGTGGGTCAGCATCGGCCTTCCTAGAAGCTCGGTTGCCTGACCTGTGGCATGCTGGGCTTTCCAGCCGCGTACAGTAACATAGAAAATTGAGAAAAAGGAAGCAACGTTTGCCCACTTTGAACCTTCAGAAAGATGCAGAATGCAAAGCACTGGTCACTGGGGTGGCCAGGACTATCTGTTCCCATCCCACTTCCAGCTCTCCCTCTGCTCCCGCCTCCTCACCCCTCTCT